AATGCTGTGATGTGAAGTTACACATGAAGGGTGTGATTGTCATGTCTACATAATGCTGTGATGTGAAGTTACACATGAAGGGTGTGATTGGCATATCTACATAATGCTGTGATGTGAAGTTACACATGAAGGGTGTGATTGGCATATCTACATAATGCTGTGATGTGAAGTTACACATGAAGGGTGTGATTGGCATATCTACATAATGCTGTGATGTGAAGTTACACATGAAGGGTGTGATTGTCATGTCTACATAATGCTGTGATGTGTGAGAGTAGCTCTGGTGAACCATGTACTATTATTGAGGCCGACAAGATTTAAATACTTTTCATTTGCAGTCTAAATAGAAAGGCATCTACACACAATCTAGCTGACCATTTCTTTTAATCACACCTTGTGTACACCCTGTTGTACATTAGTTGTACATATGTTGTACATTTGTTGTACATTTGTTGTACATTTGTTGTACATTTGTTGTACATTTGTTGTACATTTGTTGTACATTTGTTGTACATTTGTTGTACATTTGTTGTACATTTGTTGTACATTTGTAGTACATTTGTTGTACATTTGTGGTACATTTATTGTAAATTTGTTGTACATTTATTGTATATTTGTTATACATTTGTTTTAACCTTGTTGTATATTTGTTATAAGTACGCATTTTTTGTGACGGAGTGGTCTAGCAGTAGAGAGCTGGACTGCTAACCTGTAAGTCTCGAGTTCGAATCCGGGTTCAAGTCAGTAGACCGTCCCTGAGTCCACCCTACTCTGATGGGTACCTAACTTACGTTAGGGAAAGTAAAGGCTGGGCATAGTGATGACCACACTATCTCTTCATATGCCGAGGTCACAGAAACAAGGGAACTCTACTTCACTTACCCCATAGATCGTCAGGTTTAAAGGGAAACTTTACGCATTTTTACACCATATACATTTGTTGTATATTTGTTGTTACTGCGTCTTGTGTACAACCTCTGGTAAATAACGCTGGATAAACAGATCAAATGAAATGTTGACTTGATTGTGAAGTGGTCACTGCTTCTTGTCGGACAAGTTCTATGGACGAATAGAAAGGTTCTGCCGACGTGGACAGTGGTCTTTAAACAAGTTTAATGCATTGAAAATACTTATGAATAACCACTAAAATGTTTCACGAATGAAAGAAATGCTTCTGAATAACCACTAAAATGTTTTATGAATGAAATCAAATGCTTTATGAACAAGCTTTAAAATGTTTTATGAATGACAGTAAATGCTTCTGAATAACAACTAAACGGTTTTACGAATGAAAGTAAATGCTTCTGAATAACTACTAAAATGTTTTATGAATGAAAGTAAATGTTTCTGAATAAGCACTAAAATGTTTTACGAATGAACGTAAATGCACTGTGAACAAGTGTAAAAGCTATGTGAAATGGTGTGAACGGTGTTCTATGGAGAAGAGATTACCAGGCTAAGCTCTAGGGAGCATCTCGTGCTAACAGGATGGCTAAATATATAATGCTAGGTCTGCGCTGACCAATCGATATGCCACGAACAAAGTCTCTCCACCGACCTAATGGCACGAGAATTGGGCTCTTCCACAATGTGGCTTTATGCAAACAGAGCAAAATGGATTTGGACGTAAATGTGTTTACGTTTAAAATAGAACCCACTATTTTTTAGTTTTAGGAATAGTGCAAGATCGTCTGGTTATAACTTTGTCAAGTCATTAGTACATGGTCACACGGCATGCCATAATTATATGGCTAGAATTATGGTCCAATCACTTGTCGGAACCCATAATCTTTGCCAACTGTAACATTGTAGAACGATTTTCATTGAAACTACCTAAATACATCTCACACTCTCACCGAAAACCAGTCCCATATCAATCACCAAAAACATGCAATTCTCCACCCCCCACCTCTGCATCCCTCACCTCTCCATAACTCACCTCTACATCCCTCACCACTCTATCCCCCACCTATCCATAACACCTCTCCATCCCACACCTCTCCATCCCCCACCTCTCCATCCCCCACCTCTCCATCCCCCACCTCTCCATCCCTCACCTCTCTATCCCCCACCTCTCCATCCCCCACCTCTCCATCCCCCACCTCTCCATCCCCCACCTCTCCATCCCCCAGCTCTCCAACCCCACACCTCTCCATCCCATACCTCTCCATCCCCACCTCTCCGTCCCTCACCTCTCCATCCCCACCTCTCCATAACTCACCTCTCCATCCCCACCTCTCCATCCCCACCTCTCCGTCCCTCACCTCTCCATCCCCACCTCTCCATAACTCACCTCTCCATCCCCACCTCTCCGTCCCTCACCTCTCCATCCCCACCTCTCCATAACTCACCTCTCCATCCCCACCTCTCCATCCCCACCTCTCCATCCCCACCTCTCCATCCCCACCTCTCCATAACTCACCTCTCCATCCCCACCTCTCCATCCCCACCTCTCCATCCCCACCTCTCCATCCCCACCTCTCCGTCCCTCCCCTCTCCATCCCCACCTCTCCATCCCTCACCTCTCCATCCCCCACCTCTCCATCCCCCACCTCTCCATCCCCCACCTCTCCATCCCCCATCTCTCCATCCCCACCTCTCCATCCCCACCTCTCCGTCCCTCACCTCTCCATCCCCACCTCTCCATCCCTCACCTCTCCATCCCCCACCTCATCATCCCCCACCTCTCCGTCCCTCACCTCTCCATCCCCCACCTCTCCATCCCCACCTCTCCGTCCCTCACCTCTCCATCCCCACCTCTCCATCCCCACCTCTCCATCCCCACCTCTCCGTCCCTCACCTCTCCATCCCCACCTCTCCATAACTCACCTCTCCATCCCCACCTCTCCGTCCCTCACCTGTCCATCCCCACCTCTCCATCCCCACCTCTCCATCCCCACCTCTCCATCCCCACCTCTCCATCCCCACCTCTCCATAACTCACCTCTCCATCCCCACCTCTCCATCCCCACCTCTCCATCCCCCATCTGTCCATCCCCACCTCTCCATCCCCACCTCTCCATCCCCACCTCTCCATCCCCACCTCTCCATCCCCACCTCTCCATAACTCACCTCTCCATCCCCACCTCTCCATCCCCACCTCTCCATCCCCACCTCTCCATCCCCACCTCTCCGTCCCTCACCTCTCCATCCCCACCTCTCCATCCTTCACCTCTCCATCCCCCACCTCTCCATCCCCCACCTCTCCATCCCCCACCTCTCCATCCCCCATCTCTCCATCCCCACCTCTCCATCCCCACCTCTCCGTCCCTCACCTCTCCATCCCCACCTCTCCATCCCTCACCTCTCCATCCCCCACCTCATCATCCCCCACCTTTCCGTCCCTCAACTCTCCATCACCCACCTCTCCATCCCTCACCTCTCCATCCCCCACCTCTCCATCCCCCACCTCTCCATCCCCCATCTCTCCATCCCCACCTGTCCATCCCTCATCTGTCCATCCCCACCTGTCCATCCCCACCTCTCCATCCTCCACCTCTCCATAACTTACCTCTCCATCCCCACCTCTCCACCCCCCACCTCTCCATCCCCCACCTCTCCATCCTCCACCTCTCCATAACTTACCTCTCCATCCCCACCTCTCCATCCCCACCTCTCCATCCCCCACCTCTCCATCCCCCACCTGTCCATCCCCACCTGTCCATCCCCACCTCTCCATCCCCACCTCTCCATCCCCACCTCTCCATCCCCACCTCTCCATCCCCACCTGTCCATCCCCACCTCTCCATCCCCCACCTGTCCATCCCCACCTCTCCACCCCCCACCTCTCCATCCCCCACCTCTCCATCCTCCACCTCTCCATAACTTACCTCTCCATCCCCACCTCTCCATCCCCACCTCTCCATCCCCCACCTCTCCATCCCCCACCTGTCCATCCCCACCTGTCCATCCCCACCTCTCCATCCCCCACCTCTCCATCCCCACCTCTCCGTCCCTCACCTCTCCATCCCCCACCTCTCCATCCCTCACCTCTCCATCCCCCACCTCTCCATCCCCCACCTCTCCATCCCCCACCTCTCCATCCCCCACCTCTCTATCCCCCACCTATCCATCTCCCACCTCTCCATCCCCCACCTCTCCATCTCCCACCTCTCCATCCCTCACCTCTCAATCCTCTGTCAGCTAACAAAATATTGCCCACCTCCATCAATTGATATAACACTGCCCAGTTCCACTCTATTCCTTACTAAACAGTTTATCTTAGGAGAAAATGTCTCACAAAATATCTTAACCAAAACCAGGTCTATATCAATATCCATGCTTATGTCTATATCTACATCTATGTCTATATCTATATCCATGCTTATGTCTATATCGACATCTATGTCTATAGCTATAACCATGGTTATGTCTATTTCTACATCTATGTCTATATCTATATCGATGGTCATGTCTATATCTACATCTATGTCTATATCTACATCCATGGTTATGTCTATATCTACATCTATTTCTATATAAATATCCATGGTCATTTCTATATCTACGCATAAATCTACGTCAAGGTCTAAGCTTATAATTATGTCTATACCCATGTCATTCCGATATATATATATATATATATATATATATATATATATATATATATATATATATATATATATATATATATATATATATATATATATATATATAAAATCATGATGTGTCTGTGTGGCGACAATCATCGTTTGTTTGTGTCCAACCATTCACACTAGCTCAGGTTGATTTGAATTCTGCACGCGTCAATATTGATTTTACAGAAAAACATTTTGGATACTTTTTTCCTATTAATTAGAAATGACTGCGTTCGTTTATCTATACACTTATAATTAGATATCTTCGTTCGATCTACATATTTTTATGGTTACTAAACATATTTAATGGTTGCTAAACATATTTAATGGTTGCTAAACTTATTTAATGGTTGCTAAACATATTTAATGGTTGCTAAACATATCTTAAGGTACAGAGGTTTAAATTTTGACTCTTTCAATCCAGGTCTGATCTTCGACAAAAGAGACAACAACACCCTTCTCGAAAGGTCTTTAACGCAGCAGTTCAGCCAACATAATGACGACAACGAAGATTTTATACTGCTACACCAAAGTGAAAGCATTGATACAAGTGATAGCTACAAAGTATCCCGAACAAGTGAGTATTGCTAGCACAAGTTTTCTTCTCAGTTGTTTACTTGTCATGTTGATTAGAAAAACTTCCCATTGAGGAGTATGTAAATGTTATGCCACTATCCAGTTTTTCATTGATGTTCCAAACATTGTCTCTCTAGTCTGCAAGATGCTGTCTGCCGGGGCGATAACTATCATAGGAGACATCAGGCCCCCAGCCCTGGATACGGTGCTGGACTACATGAATGAGACCCACATTCCTTTTATCTTCTTAAACAACCCTGCTGACCCCAGGAAGGTCGAGTCTAAGATAGCCATGCAGGTACAGTGTTAAACATAAACGAGAAATCTGTTTTCCTGTCACTAGCTGGTACTTAGGCCTGTTACGTTATATTGGATACTTTAACTAGCCTCAAACTCGCTGCTCCATAGTAGCCACTTTTTACTAGCTTCTCTAGAGGCGTGGATGGTAGTGGCATGGCTGGTAGTGGCGTGACGTTGGTAGTAATGGTGTGGTTGGCATTGGCGTGGCTGTTAGTGAAGTGGCTGGTAGTGGCGTGGCTGGTAGTGGCGTGGCTGGTAGTGGCGTGGCTGGTAGTGGCGTGTAGATCTAAGTATCTGTGATTGAAACCAACACAACAACCCTATCCTATCTAGAGATGTCTAAAAAAATGTCTCATTACTTTTTACATTTGCTCTATGCAGCTGCATTAGACACACATGTATAGATTCTAGTGCTATTTCAATGTTTGCATTAGACACACATGTATAGATTCTAATGCTATTTCAATGTTTGCAAGAGAAAAATAATGTATTGCTAAGACTTGTAGTAATATAAAATCGTAAGCATATTACATTCACGTTTATTGCATAATACATGAAGATAGATTCTCCTTTGTGTTTCTACGCGAATTTATTTATTATTTTAAGCTGTTCATATTGCAAATGTCGTGTTCATAAACTAATACGTTTGTACAATGTACGTGTTTTTACATGAACTATGCAGCTGATGTTGCTATCGGTACGCCATCACTCCATTTCAGGTGTACATGGAGCCCAGTATGACGAAAACTATAGTAGATATTATACACAACATTTATTTTTGGGAGAAGTTCTACTACATGTATGATTCATTAGATGGTATGTAGATATTATACACAACATTTATTTTTGGGAGAAGTTCTACTACATTTATGATTCATTAGATGGTATGTAGATATTATACACAACATTTATTTTTGGGGGATATCTACTACATGTATGATTCATTAGATGGTATGACTCATAAACCATTTTAATTGCTCAGGCTTTGCTTGATTATACATCTTATTTAATGACTATGAGTCATGTGTTTGATCTGGAAGAATAAGTGAAATTTAATTTCTATAGAGTACCTCAAATTCTTTAACTGAGATAAACTTTTGACAACGACAATTAAACACACGATTATTGTTATAATTGATGTTTTTACAATGAGAGTCAAACCATTGTCATAATTGATGAATATCCCGTCGACAGCAATCCCACGAATCGAACAAATCCACGACTACCTACACGACGATCCTAGCGCCAACCCCGACATCCGACCCCACAAGGTCACTACTGGGGAGTCCTGTTACAAGATGATAACAACACTCTACGAAACCAAGAAGTCGGAAGATTTGAGAATAATTCTCGACATAGAGCCCGTCAAGGCTGAGTTTGTTATAGAGCAGGTGGTAAGTGCTATCGTGCTGTTTGTAGCCTCACAACTACATTTTTTCGACTATTCACTTTGACTCTCTCTTCAACTTGTCTCACTACGCCGTTAATCCAATCATCAATTGACCTTCTGTATGTGAAGGCAAACGGTGGCCTGAGTGGGACAGACACGTCCCTGCTAACAATAAGTTTGATTGTATTTAGTACCTTACTTCGTCACATATTTATTTTGTCATATTCGCAGGATGTGGTAGTACATTACATTTACAAACTCTGTTTGTGAGAGTAGAAAGCACTTTAGCTTGTAAGTCAACTGGCAGCCCAACAATTTCCTTCATGTAGTCTTTGTATTTGTCTTTGTATTTATCGTTGTATGGACACGTTTTATCGGACATAAATAGGAGGCACAAAACTAGCGCCTATAGGGTCGTAGAGGGATTTTTTTCTTTATCTCCTTCTCTCTCCACCCCCACCCCATCCTCCAATCCCTCATCTTCTCAGCTAACCAAAAGAGAGGTAGGAAACTGAGAAAATGAAAAGTGATCAGGGACCAAATGGGGCCATTCCAATTCACGGCTTGTAACGTGGACACAATCTGGCCTCGTCGCTAGAATCAGAGATTCTCTGTGGTAACGGAGGGGGAGGGGCAAGGTGAACGGGGGGGGGGGGGGGGGGGAGAAGGGGGGTTGTAGGGGCAGTGGCTCTGGGTGTTGAGGGGAGGCTATAGATTTTTGTGTTAAATCAGGGCGTGCTGGGAGAGGTCACATTGTTATTACCTCGGGTGTAGGTTATCTTTGTACCGTCCACAGCAGCTTCAAGACATCAAGAGGTCGATCGACACCAATGGTCTGCTAGATGTATAGATTGGGTGGTTACACTCTGTTAGATGTGGTAGATTGGGTGGTTACAATCTGTTAAATGTGTAGATTGGGTGGTTACAATCTGTTGGATGTGGTAGATTGGGTGGTTACAATCTGCTAGATGTGTAGATTGGGTGGTTACAATCTGTTAGATGTGTAGATTGGGTGGTTACAATCTGTTAGATGTGGTAGATTGGGTGGTTACAATATGTTAGATGTGTAGATTGGGTGGTTACAATCTGTTAGATGTGTAGATTGGGTGGTTACAATATGTTAGATGTGTAGATTGGGTGGTTACAATCTGTTAGATGTGGTAGATTGGGTGGTTACAATATGTTAGATGTGTAGATTGGGTGGTTACAATCTGTTAGATGTGTAGATTGGGTGGTTACAATATGTTAGATGTGGTAGATTGGGTGGTTACAATCTGTTAGATGTGTAGATTGGGTGGTTACAATATGTTAGATGTGGTAGATTGGGTGGTTACAATCTGTTAGATGTGGTAGATTGGGTGGTTACAATATGTTAGATGTGTAGATTGGGTGGTTACAATCTGTTAGATGTGTAGATTGGGTGGTTACAATATGTTAGATGTGTAGATTGGGTGGTTACAATATGTTAGCTGTGTAGATTGGGTGGTTACAATCTGTTAGATGTGTAGATTGGGTGGTTACAATATGTTAGCTGTGTAGATTGGGTGGTTACAATCTGTTAGATGTGTAGATTGTGTGGTTACAATATGTTAGATGTGGTAGATTGGGTGGTTACAATCTGTTAGATGTGTAGATTGGGTGGTTACAATATGTTAGATGTGTAGATTGGGTGGTTACAATCTGTTAGATGTGTAGATTGGGTGGTTACAATATGTTAGATGTGTAGATTGGATGGTTACAATATGTTAGATGTGGTAGATTGGGTGGTTACAATCTGTTAGATGTGGTAGATTGGGTGGTTACAATCTGTTAGATGTGTAGATTGTGTGGTTACAATCTGTTAGATGTGTAGATTGGGTGGTTACAATCTGTTAGATGTGTAGATTGTGTGGTTACAATATGTTAGATGTGGTAGATTGGGTGGTTACAATCTGTTAGATGTGTAGATTGGGTGGTTACAATCTGTTAGATGTGTAGATTGGGTGGTTACAATCTGTTAGATGTGTAGATTGGGTGGTTACAATCTGTTAGATGTGGTAGATTGGGTGGTTACAATCTGTTAGATGTGTAGACTGGGTGGTTACAATCTGTTAGATGTGGTAGATTGGGTGGTTACAATCTGTTAGATGTGTAGATTGGGTGGTTACAATCTGCTAGATGTGGTAGATTGGGTGGTTACAATCTGTTAGATGTGGTAGATTGGGTGGTTACAATCTGCTAGATGTGGTAGATTGGGTGGTTACAATCTGTTAGATGTGGTAGATTGGGTGGTTACAATCTGTTAGATGTGGTAGATTGGGTGGCTACAATCTGCTAGATGTGGTAGATTGGGTGGTTACAGTCTGTTAGATGTGTAGATTGGGTGGTTACAATATGTTAGATGTGTAGATTGGGTGGTTACAATCTGTTAAATGTGTAGATTGGGTGGTTACAATCTGTTAGATGTGTAGATTGGGTGGTTACAATCTGTTAGATGTGTAGATTGGGTGGTTACAATCTGTTAGATGTGGTAGATTGGATGGTTACAATATGTTAGATGTGTTGATTGGATGGTTACAATATGTTAGATGTGTAGATTGGGTGGTTACAATCTGTTAGATGTGTAGATTGGGTGGTTACAATCTGTTAGATGTGTAGATTGGGTGGTTACAATCTGTTAGATGTGTAGATTGGGTGGTTACAATCTGTTAGATGTGTAGATTGGGTGGTTACAATCTGTTAGATGTGGTAGATTGGGTGGTTATAATCTGTTAGCTGTGTAGATTGGGTGGTTACAATCTGTTAGCTGTGTAGATTGGGTGGTTACAATCTGTTAGATGTGGTAGATTGGGTGGTTACAATCTGTTAGATGTGGTAGATTGGGTGGTTACAATCTGTTAAATGTGTAGATTGTGTGGTTACAATCTGTTAGATGTGGTAGATTGGGTGGTTACAATCTGTTAGATGTGGTAGATTGGGTGGTTACAATCTGTTAAATGTGAAGATTGTGTGGTTACAATCTGTTAGATGTGGTAGATTGGGTGGTTACAATCTGTTAGATGTGTAGATTGGGTGGTTACAATCTGTTAGATGTGGTAGATTGGGTGGTTACAATATGTTAGCTGTGTAGATTGGGTGGTTACAATCTGTTAGATGTGTAGATTGGGTGGTTACAATCTGTTAGATGTGGTAGATTGGGTGGTTACAATATGTTAGATGTGGTAGATTGGGTGGTTACAATCTGTTAGATGTGTAGATTGGGTGGTTACAATCTGTTAGATGTGGTAGATTGGGTGGTTACAATCTGCTAGATGTGGTAGATTGGGTGGTTACAATCTGTTAGATGTGGTAGATTGGGTGGTTACAATCTGTTAGATGTGGTAGATTGGGTGGTTACAATCTGTTAGATATGTAGATTGGGTGGTTACAATATGTTAGATGTGTAGATTGGGTGGTTACAATCTGTTAAATGTGTAGATTGGGTGGTTACAATATGTTAGATGTGTAGATTGGATGGTTACAATCTGTTAGATGTGTAGATTGGGTGGTTACAATCTGTTAGATGTGTAGATTGGGTGGTTACAATCTGTTAGATGTGTAGATTGGGTGGTTACAATCTGTTAGATGTGTAGATTGGGTGGTTACAATCTGTTAGATGTGTAGATTGGGTGGTTACAATCTGTTAGATGTGTAGATTGGGTGGTTACAATCTGTTAGATGTGGTAGATTGGGTGGTTACAATCTGTTAGCTGTGTAGATTGGGTGGTTACAATCTGTTAGCTGTGTAGATTGGGTGGTTACAATCTGTTAGATGTGGTAGATTAGGTGGTTACAATATGTTAGATGTGGTAGATTGGGTGGTTACAATCTGTTAGATGTGGTAGATTGGGTGGTTACAATATGTTAGATGTGTAGACTGGGTGGTTACAATCTGTTAGATGTGGTAGATTGGGTGGTTACAATCTGTTAGATGTGTAGATTGGATGGTTACAATATGTTAGATGTGTAGATTGGATGGTTACAATATGTTAGATGTGTAGATTGGGTGGTTACAATCTGTTAGATGTGTAGATTGGGTGGTTACAATCTGTTAGATGTGTAGACTGGGTGGTTACAATCTGTTAGATGTGGTAGATTGGGTGGTTACAATCTGTTAGATGTGTAGATTGGATGGTTACAATATGTTAGATGTGGTAGATTGGGTGGTTACAATCTGTTAGATGTGGTAGATTGGGTGGTTACAATCTGTTAGATGTGTAGATTGGGTGGTTACAATCTGCTAGATGTGGTAGATTGGGTGGTTACAATCTGTTAGATGTGGTAGATTGGGTGGTTACAATCTGTTAGATGTGTAGATTGGATAGTTACAATATGTTAGATGTGGTAGATTGGGTGGTTACAATCTGTTAGATGTGGTAGATTGTGTGGTTACAATATGTTAGATGTGTAGATTGGGTGGTTACAATCTGTTAGATGTGGTAGATTGGGTGGTTACAATATGTTAGATGTGAAGATTGGATGGTTACAATCTGTTAGATGTGGTAGATTGGGTGGTTACAATATGTTAGATGTGGTAGATTGGGTGGTTACAATCTGTTAGATGTGGTAGATTGGGTGGTTACAATCTGTTAGATGTGGTAGATTGGGTGGTTACAGTCTGTTAGATGTGTAGATTGTGTGGTTACAATCTGTTAGATGTGGTAGATTGGGTGGTTACAATCTGTTAGATGTGTAGATTGGGTGGTTACAATCTGTTAGATGTGTAGATTGGGTGGTTACAATCTGTTAGATGTGTAGATTGGGTGGTTACAATATGTTAGATGTGTAGATTGGGTGGTTACAATCTGTTAGATGTGGTAGATTGGGTGGTTACAATATGTTAGATGTGTAGATTGGATGGTTACAATCTGTTAGATGTGTAGATTGGGTGGTTACAATCTGTTAGATGTGTAGATTGGGTGGTTACAATCTGTTAGATGTGTAGATTGGGTGGTTACAATCTGTTAGATGTGTAGATTGGGTGGT